CTCTGTGTAATCCCAGCTTCCAGCCCGAAGCGACCACACATCATCAACAAGGTTTAGGGTTTACAGGGTTTTGGGTTTGGGTTTCGGGTTTCAAAGACCACAAGATTTTTGAGCTGCCATGCCCAGGATTTCGGCCTGTGCCCAAGGCCGGAACGGCTAGGAGAGGGGCTTCGGGATGGCTCGGTGATGGAGGTTTTGCAGGGCCTCCGAGCCAAGTACGGGCTGGCTGTGGACTCTTGAAGCCTTGAACACCCTTGAGCCAGTCATCCAACACCTGTGCAGGTCTTTCACAGACCCGAAGCCTTAACGACTGCTCCAAACGCTGCCGTCATGCGGAGAGAACGACAAATAGATTCAAAAACCGGAGTCGTGTCTTTCGCTTCGTAGGCTTTGCTGCCTCCGATGTCGTTTTTAGGGCCGATTCTTATAATGACAATCCGAATCAGAAACTACACCTTTGCTCCGAGGGCTCGGGGTGCAGGGTATAGGATTCAGGGTTTAGGGAAGCTTAGGACTCAAGGGCTTCGGGGATTTTGGAGCCCTTGAAACGGCGGGAAGGCAGCCAGTGGTCTCATTGCTTGGACCTCCTACGATCCGCAAGCGCTCGGCGCTGGGCGCTGGATGTGATCAGCCTCTTGGCCAATCTCGGAGACCGGAAAGACAAAGAGATGTAGCAGCAATATGTTGATCAACAAGAAATTCTTAAGCATGTATGCTGGAAAGTTTCTTTTCGTCGAAGGTTGTATACCATGATGCTCCAAGCCTGCATAAGGACATAGTTCTACTTCTTGAAGCTACATTGATCTCAAGGGTGGATGTGGCGTTGCATATCACAATGAAAGCACGAACTGTCCCTCGAGCTCGAGGTTTTAACAGCACCCTCAGCGGCCTCGCCGTGGGCCGCTGCTGGGACCGTGCGACGCTTTTGCTTGAGGAGATGCGACAAGGCGGCGACAGGGAAGCAGCCGGCCTCAGACCGAAACCTGCTACTCTAAACTGCACATCTACATCTGTAATCCAAAAGCCCCACGACTCTAATCCTACCTGTCGCTTCAAAACCATAAGTAGAGGGTTAAAACTTTCAAGCTGTAGGTAGTTGGAGCCACCGGGTAGGCCTCAAGAAGTCTTGAGAGGCCCCATCACTCCCAACGTCATCTCCTATAACACGACCATCAGCTCCTTCGTGGACTGGGAAGGACTTCCGTCATGGGGCGTGAGTCCTGGTAACTGCACGTTTTGGTTTCGAACTCATACTACGCCGATCCGAAAGCCTTAAACCACAAACCCCAAAGTGAATCTGAAGACCTCAACTCTAAGTGATAAGAAGCCCAGATGCCCTACAGACTTCACAGTTCCCAGCCTCAGCTGCGAAATCTGAATGCCCCTGCAGTCTGATGGCTCTCTGCATTGTTCAGCTTTTCTTCTTGCAAGGGCATCTTCGGAGGGTCCTCAGGATGTGCGCCTCTGGCGGTAGGTCACAGTCCCCGGGGCGAGAGGTATATTGCTCAGCATCCTTGTCTTTGCTCTGCAGACTAGCACAGGATCCGTGAAGGCTCCCTCAGCCCCTAACCCAAAGCCCCCAAACCTCACAGCATCTAAAATCGTTTAACATTGGTAGATCGCTATTAACATTTCCAGATCCCGGAAGCCCGAAAGCCCCTGAAGCTTGTTGTCCAAGGAGATCAGGAGCCTAAAGCCTGAGCCCTCAACCCCAAAATGCCCTCAAGGCTCTCATGATATGCCCCAAGTCCGAAACCTCAAAAGAACCTCTAAATTTACACACCAAGACGGCCTGAACCTCTAAGCCTTTAGAGCTTTGTCGGCCCAGGAGATTTCTGGCCCTACGCCCTAGAATGCCTGGAGCTGATGCGCTTGGATGAGCTGCAGCCGGACCGCGCGATGCCCGCTTTTCTTGTTTGTTTGTTTCTGGGGTTGGGGGGAGTTCGGTTTTTGGGGGTTGGGGAAGGTGGGGCATCGGGTTGGCGTTTGCGGCTTTGGGGCTTTGGGGTTCCGAGCTTCAGGCCGCCTTAGACGTCCGCTGATCCTCTAAGTCCGTAAGCCCTAAGCCCTAAACCCTATAAGGCCGTATAAGCCCGTTGATCCTCCAAGCGCAGGCATTAAACCCTAATCCCTGTAAGCCCTAAACCCTAAAC